TTCCCGTCCCAGCAACAGCTTCACCACTGCCTCATGCCCACCCAAGACAGCCCACAAAATGGGTGTTCGGCCGCACCTGTCCGGCCTATCGAGGTTGATGTCTTCCCGTCCCAGCAACAGCTTCACCACTGCCTCATGTCCATTCTCGGCAGCATATACCAGCGGTGCAGCACCTATATCATCCAAGCAGTCTATATCAACACCACCCATCTCCATCAACGCCCTCGCAAGCTCAGCAAGTCCAAAGAAGGACGCACAATGTAGCCCCGTGAATTTATAAGGCTCCACAACCCGACCGAGGGAACGCCCCAGAATGTACTCCAAGAGTAGTTTGACCGATATATGACGTTCGTAGTAGCCAAAGAGACCCAGTGCAAGGCCTAGACTAAGATCTGAGTGTTCTTTGTTCATATGGGCCCCCCAATACAAAGCAGAATATGTGAGGAAGGATTGCCGTTGAGCGCTCTCAATATCGGAGATGGAAAGCGCCATGACCAACTTTGAATTCAAGTATGTCAAGCAGGTCTCAGCAATGGTAGCGTGAGGGCTCTGGAAAAGGTCGGGATGACTGGCTAGATACTCTTGTAGCGTGTAGTGAATCAGTCTAACAGCCGACCCTTCCTTATCTACCGCCACGAGTCCTTGGCAGCAGCTTAATACTGTCGTGATAGAGGGAGCATTGTCAGCATTATATTCCGTCGATCCTATCTCGACCGCCAAAGCGTGACACAGCTCCTCCGCCCCCAGTGGCCGTTCCGCATGGCATATCCACATCAATGCAGCCATCCCGAGTCTCGACTTCTGATCTCCTTGCGCCTTTATCCGATCTAAAGTTGCGCCGTATGCACCTTCTAGGCCCAACCCATCAGTCATTACCCTGAGCCTTTCTCGCCGCCGATGGATTGTGGTCTCCTGTAGAATGGCATCAAGGTTCAGCGAGACTAACAGAAATCTATGTGCGCATCGGTCAGCTTAGAATTTGGCTGGTATTCGTCATTAGGCCTATTCTCCTTACATCTCCGAGACACTTTCCGGAATCTTCTCCACAATCTCCGCCTCCAATTTTTCATCCATCTCCTCCGCAGTCGGGTCCTCGACTAGCTTTGTGTGGATGTATCGAATAAGGTCATCCTTTCGAGGACTTATCGATACAACCGCAGCTCCGCCAGGTAGATGCCTTTGTACCTCACCGCCGACATGTGGTCTCCCTGTCATGAACACCCGAGTGGAGGGAGACTTTTTGACAATATCCTTAAGTGCAAGAAGGATTTTGGCCCGATCTGCTACAGCGCATTCGTCAATCGCGTCGAGGCAGAAAAATGTGCGGCGCGAAGATGAGAGGTTCCCCAACATCTTGACAATCTCAGGAAGTAGCAGGCTCCGGCCACCAATAACTTTCTTCTGTTTCTCAAACGCATCCTTTACTTCACCGGGAATCTTCTCAAAAGCGCCAACTACCTGTTTGAGTAGCGCACCCAACATTCTGGTCGCCGACTGCTCCTTCCGGGCTGCAAAGTCGAAATAGAAACATGCCACGGCAATATCCTCCCCTTCAGCCTCACCGGCCCCATCGCACAAAGTATCGATTACTAGTGAACTAAGATTGAAACTTGTTAGAAAAACAAGTTGTCGTACCTTGTCCCGTCTCCACGATATCGTATGCCTTACCTGATGTATGTCTTGCCGACCCCCGGATTTCCAGAGCAAAATATGGCCGCCTTCCGCGATTCACCCCGGGCATGGCAGCCATACCAGTTTTTAAATTCCTCTGTCTGCATAAGCCAGACTCCCACGTCTTCAACCCGGCGCTCCCGAATGTCACGATGCCGCAAGTTGGGATTGAGAGGAGACAACCAAGTGAGGATTTCAGTTCGGTCATCTGTGACGGTAATGTTATTCGAAATGGAACTGCTATTGAAACAGTTGCTGTTGTTGTTAAGAACGTTGGTATTATTATTCAGGGAGCCAATCGTGTTGAAAGAGTTATCACATCCCGAGGAATGAGGATTATGAAGGGACTTGGTAGTGAAACTAGGATCTCGAGACATTTTTCCGCTCTTTCGGTCTCCGGAATGGGGTTGGTTAGCTGACGGATGGGTTGAAGAGGTGCTCGAGCGAGTATGATGGTGTTGGGAGATAAAATTCCACACAGCTGAAGAGAAGCGGGGTTTATCAAAGCCTTGCAATAAGCCCAGGTCCCACTTCCTCTGCTCGAATAGGATAATGGTCCAGAGGCCAGAAATCATTCGACCCTTCCCCCAGGCTGTCCCCTCTAAGGCTGCCATTTCCACCACCATTCACCCTCCCGTTCCGGCGATAAGAATGCCCACGCATCACGGTCGACAGGAAAATGCACCAACCATCACACTGCGATATTATTTGTTTACGAATACCATATCTATGAAAGTTTCATTTCGCAAGTATCAAGCTTGCCGAATCCACTCATGCATTCCAACCCGACTCATGAACCCAACCGAGACCGTTCAGGGGGGATGGCGATGATTAGCCTCGCGCAGTCGATTGTGGTACCGCACTGCCTCCCTAGCAAGTCATGAGATTGCCGTAATATCAATAAAAATGCGGCCAATAATAATGGAGGAAGTCTGTTTCCCATTTCGCGCCGTGACATCCAAGCAACGATTTACTCCATACTTTAAGATGGTCGCAAAATACAATATCACTTCTTGGCATGGTAGCCTTACATCTACCGGTATTGTCACGAACTCATCGTCCTTGAAGTACCGTATTATACGAATAACTTACTCGAGTAAATTACTTCTCAGTCTTGCCCTTACGACTGTGTGAGGGCTCAGCGAGGCTTAGCAAGGTTTGGTACAGTAGCAACAGCCGCCAGCATTCAACGACAGAAGCAAGCCAAGCTATGAGAAGGATGTCGCCTCGTTCAGCCTCGCACGGTTTAGAGGGGTCTTGGTGCCCTGCTCCTGCTGATACCGGTAGCCTATCGTAGTCCAAGTGTCCCCCTCGGAGCACAAAAAAGGGCAAGAGAAATTTACGGTCACCGTCTCCCGCTTCCCTGAACGCTATCCATTGTGAACGGGCCGTCCAGCCGTCGGTGTAGGTCAGCTTACCGGCACTCGAACACCGGTGCCGGTACCCTATGAGCATCATACACTCCTAATCAATACAGGGCACTATCAACCACTGTAGAGCATGGTAGGGTAATTTATAAACCCCCGCCCACCAGCATAGAGGAGCACCGGTATTACGACACAATTGAGGTCTCACCTGGGACTTGGGACGAACGAAAGAGGCATCTAATCTACGCAGATAGAACATCAAAACACACGGTGCCGGCAGTCGACCTTGGGCATACACGTGCTCGAGCGCGGTACTGCAAGTCAATGGCAGGGACAAGTCGTCTTTCTTTCCCCGATAAACCACCTGCACGCATAACCTCACCCTTACAAGTATGATAAGATTATCATTCGACGAAATTCTCAAAATCAAAAATTACGAAAATCGCGAAGATATCATATCTCGAAAATGTGCCCCCACACACCCTGCCCCAACCGATCCAAAGGAGAAAAAAAGCCAAGCCACCTCTTCCATACGTCCACCCCCAACCTATCCTACAGAACTAACACCCCCATATCCTCCTCAAAATCTTCTCATCCACCTCGTCAAAGATGCCCTCCCTCATTCTCCAAACGCCGACCAGACTCCCAACGCCTACTCACCCGCAGCGCCCCCGCCAGGTTCCGAATCAACAATCAACACTCGCACAACGCCAACCTGGCGAAGAGCAGTACGACAAACTCACCGCCCCCTTTGACAAACTCGCTAAATTCCTCCCTGGAGCTGAGCTCGCGCGCCCGCCCGGCCACCAGCTGCACCAGGACCTCTCTCAATTCCGTTTCGTTGCTACGCGCGATGAACACTTCGCGGGCAAACTCGATGACGAGGGATGGGAGCTTCTCGAGCGGCGTCTGGGCGAATTGCGTGCGGAGCTTGTGCAGCGCGAGGGATGACAGGGCGGGGATTTGCACGGCTGGGAGGTTGGCGAAGCGGTAGACCGAGAGGTTAACGTGGAGGAGGCGGAGGTGGTGGGGTTTCTGGTGCTCGACGGGGGTTTTCGGAGGGGGCAGGGATGAGTAGCTCGATGAGCGGGATGTCTTTGGCGAGAGCACCGGCGCGTAAGCTGGGAAGGTGGTCGCCGAAGGCGTCGGTGGCGGTGAAGGCAACAACCCGTTTGGCAGCATGAGTCTGTTACTACCACTCTTGCTGCCATGGTTACCGGTATTACCATCCGCCTTCTTCTCCTCGTTCTTCTGCTCTGGAAAATATTCCGACGTGTAGGTTGACGTGTTGTCCGCTTTCTCAAACACTGGCGCAGGCTTACCCCACACGCCGATCGCGCCCGCCATGGCGGCGTACATGAGCGGGGAGCGGGGGAGATGCGCCGCTGGCCGAGTGGAATGCAGCAACGGTTGGTCATCCGCTTCTTCCCCCTCCTCCGGCTCAGCGGGAAGCACGTAATCCCCCGTGTACAAGAATTCTAGCGCATGATCGAGCGTGGGAACGCTCACACTGGATGGATCGAGAAGGACGTACGAGTCACGGGGCTTACGCGATTGCAGGAGAGAGGTGTATTTCGCCAGGAGCGGGCGGTGAACAGAGTACGTGAGGTCCTCCTCCCCGGAGTCGCTGGTGGGGAGAATGAGTCGGATTGTCGGGGCCGTTAGGAAACTGCCAAACGTCAGCGTGCGCTTCCCCTACGTGTACAGGAGTATGGGAGTGCGCATGACGCAGATGCAAAACATCGCAGCAGAACAATGCAGAACAAAGTACTGTACATACCTAGCAATAGCAGGGCCAGCCATAATGATAAAACACTTTTTTTCTTTCCCTCCTTTTTCGGCCGCACCGTAGTTATCCAATATCATCAACCCACTTCCAATAAACCCCCCAGCGGGCGCACCGAGCCTTTATGAAGAACCTTCTTCTCCTTGCAAGGCGAAAAACAAAAAAACAAAAATTTCCCCCCAGCCCAAGCAATGTTTTCCCCCACCCCGTTCCCGTCTGATCACGTCAATTCACGTGCCCTAGCACTACATCCCAAACACCAGCCAAATCTACTGGCATACAGTACCGTACAAACAAAAGGGAAAACCCCGCGCTGCGGTTACACAACGAAAGAGGGGGCGAGGGCTGAACCCAAACAAGGGTGCCTTCTTGCTTTTGTTTTTTTTTTTTCGCGGGGAACCGGGCAGAGTGCTAGTGAGAGCGGTATCAGGATTGGTTGTTGTCGGGGTTGTGAGTGTCGAGAAAGTCTTGGAACTGGGGCATGGGTGCGATTGTGCATTGGTGAGTTCCCGGCCGGTATTGGGTGCTCCAGGCACTATAGATTGTGGTAATGGCGGTTAGCGATTAGGTTGGGTTCCAAAGATCTTGATGGAAGTATCATAGGTTAGTGGAGATTTCGCGCTGAACATCCGAGGCTCCTTTTCCGAGCCCGGATGGGGAATTTTGATCACGCAATTTCTCGTCACGTGTCAACATAATGCCAAGACCAGGGTGATGGGTTGTGTATTGTTCTCGCGATGCGTGAAGTGTCGGGAGCAAGGGATCGGTTAGGAATCCCACGATAACCGAAGATACCACCTGTCCCCGACCGAACGGACACGGCCCGACTGGCTGCACTGCCCGCGCACCGTTCTTTGGCTGCGGTAGGCGAATGGGACCTTGGGGACTCATGGATACAGGCCTCCGTTTACCACCGGCGAGGCAGCCCACCACCGGTCCGCCAGAACCCAAAAAACAGTGATGCAACCCCAATTACCCCTTAGGCCATTCAGCTAATGTAATGGATATCACAGCGGGCGAATTCCAGAAGCATCCGGGCATACCCAACTGGCGGATTTCGGAAAGGAACATTGCCGGTCAAGAATTGAGCGGTGATGATAATGTACTACCTAACTCACCTCTGTCAACAGATCCATAACTGCCCGAGCATGAGCTCTACTATCACTCCTTCCGCTACCTACGCACTTTTGAGGATTTAAACACCTCTTTGGCGACCCGACAGTGACGGCCGTGGCCACCGCTATAACACCACACACCATATAAATCCGCTGGTACCCCGCTTACCATCCAGCGCCAGCCGTACACCCCACCGGTGCGGAACTTTGCGCACGTCCAGTCACCCATCGGTCCTTTCACCCCGAAGTCAGAGCCCACCTTACCTCTGACTGCCCGCATGCAATCGACGTCCGGTTCGGGCTGACCAAGTACGGTGGGTAGTATCTCCCCAGAACCCGTTAGGGAGCGGGATGAGATGGCAACTCGGTCAGACCAGATGAAGCAGAAAGCTAGCGATACCCAACTGGCCGCCGGGTATACCCACTGTAGCAAGCTCCGCCCTCCGATTCGATACCTTCGGATGTCCAGTGGCCCACCCCCCTCCCTCCCAGAGTAATCACCAATGGGATGCAACCCCCAAGTACTGCCTTTACACCCCCTACTCTCCATAACCCACAACCAATAGCCATTATACACCCTCCCCACCATTCATCCACAACCATCTGCACGGATCTCCAACGACCTTCCCGCTACCTGGAAAGCGTGCCTCGCCGTAACCTAACTTAATTACCCGCTGTTTAATACCCACAACTGCGCACGGTCTATCCATCACCATTTTTCAAAACTATATCCATAGGATACCACGGGGCAAAGGTGGGGGGAGGAAACGAAATGACATTATCAATGACACGGAACTACAGTGCGTTTTGGTAAAGTTGGTATAAAAGGAGGAGAATCAATGGGTAGGCAATCCTACCCAGCGCTTGGATCCCAGCTGCTCGAGGAGGAGGCATTTCGTAGAGGCGCTTGCTATAAAGCCGTCATAGTTGCCATGGCAACCGCTCCACTGCTGTCTCCTCTACCGGCGGGCTTACCGTGGGCCATGATTGGAAGTCACAGCCTGTGGTTTCCCCAGGCTATATATGCCACGCCCTTATTCTGGACAGCCTACTCTACACCCGCAACAAAAGTCCACAGTCCAATCCAATTCACCCATTCTCACTCGCCAGCTGGCTGTTTCGCCCCCACCATCACAAAACCGTAAACTGGCCAGTTCGGTCGCGGATCGTGTGCATGCACCGCCACGCCTCCCATGATACCCACGATACGTCGATCGCTCTGCCAGAACATGCACAGAAAGCGCCGTGTAACCCACAAACATCGAACCTGCCTTCCTCCCGAAGAATGAAGGTTGTGGAAAGAGGACATAGCACATAAATAGAGTATAGCTCACGCTCGTGCACAATAGATCCCTCCCAGAAGCTTGAGATATCAATTCCCACGAAAGACCCCTCATCGATTTTGGATCATCACCCGGAGGGGGGCAAAGACCACTTGAGAGTATCACAGGCTATCGCCCATCCCGTACCGTACGACACTTTGTATTCACTCCTGAACTGCAAGAATTTCTCCAAACTTACCCGTCTATCTAGTTGATACGTGTGACAATCGGTAAATAGGGCGTGATGAGGCTTTCTACGCACTTGGGTATAAAAAAATAAAAATAAAAATAAAATCTGATACTCGAGTCTCCATTGTGAAACGGCTAATAGTTGGCAGGTGAAGGAGTAAAAGTTCTAGTTTCTAGGAGTTCAATAAATGTTTACAGATTTGTGGATATTGTATTCTTGGGATGATGATAGTAATAATAAAAATAATACGCGGGGGGGAGGAGGGGGAGTTCGGTCCTTGCGAGTACTAGTGCCCGCCAACATCGTATCATTCAGACCCACAGCGTCGTGAATACCGCAGTGTGTTTTAGCACTAGGGACTTCTGGATCATCCCGCAATGTGATCTGGTGCGCGAACAGTGCACCGGGATTTCTAGATCGTACGGCGGTATACAAAGGGGGGGGGAAGGCCGTTCTCGTAGTTATCTATATAGCGTTACGCAGTACTAGCACAATACAGTACGAGTACAAGATCCACCGGTATCTATCCCCCGAACAGAAATATATTTACAAAAAGATACAGAGATAGATACAAATGATAACCCCAGGTATGACACGGCCCATTTCCCCGACCACCCCCGCCCGACACACTCCCGAGCATCTTCACCCACTAGTCGTAACCCCATATCATATATACATACACGCCCGGCTCCGGAAAGTACCCACAGTACCACACTTGATATTTCCGACCTTTAGTCATAACCATGTTGTTATACACCCCACCGCGATGACAGACCTTCTACTCGACATTTCCGCAGAGTTGAATGCTAATAGTCTCATACCAGCGGGCTAAACCCATACCGTACTGTGCAATAGGACTTTACACTTCAGCAGCTGTCAAGCCACTCAACGCCCGGCAGGCACCCACCGGCCAAGCTGAAGAATACAAACAATGATCCTCTCTCTTTCCGGAAGATCTTACGGCACTGTGCGGAGGGGTACTAGACTTACTGCAGCGGCGAAATTTTACCGGGGATTATCTCGTCGGGTGCTATTGCGGCGTAATCGTGATGGTTCTACTTTACGTGTTGGAGTGTGAGATGACCAGCTAGATGGCTGGCTGGCTATTCGATATCAGGCCTTTACTCAATGTAATCTTGTGCGAAACTCTGGGGTTGGTTGCTCTCTCACGAGTCCTGTGGTGGAAAGCGTGGTGGCGTGGAAGGGATGTCTTGTATACGGGTATGGTGTGGTGGGGTCTTAATAGCGTGACGGTCTGAAGAACTGATTGTATCGTCCGGTCTGATTTCCCAGAAATGTCCTTTTTATATATACATTCATGTTGTGAGATTCCCGTAGTGTTTCTTGGGTCGTCCGGACGCGGCGGTGGCCAGGATACCAAACAGGACTACGATAGTGCACACATTTTCATCACAAATCATCACTCGAAGTACCAAATCTTTCCCATGATATTGCGGGTCGGCACTTCAGCTATTTTATTCCTCCCAGAAGCGAAATGGCTCCTAAAGAGTGCTAAATCTATAGGTCGCCTCCCACGTGTACGTCTCCCCAGGCCCGTAAAACTGTTTTCTTCCCCATTCCGGACTATCCCATCAAGTTAGCACCGGGTGACGTGCCAAAAGGGGGGGGGGAAGGGGTTGACACACTGATTGATACCATCGACCCAATCCTGCGGTTCAAGCGCGATACACCCGCTAGATTTCACGAACCCGTTTGTCGCCGCTCCGGGGCCCCCCTGGGTCTTCTTGATGGGCATATCACCTATTTCGATAAATCACGCTGCCAAATTACGGGAAGGGGGAAATAGAGAATCATGGCATACCTCCCGACCAATAACAAGAATAAGCCTGCATTCCTACCTCATCCGTGTGGATATCAACCTTGATTCCGCTCCAATCGCTGCTTAGAGTCGCCACCGGATCGGCACAGTCTGATTTCGGCTTGTCGACGACCCAGCAATGGTTATATCCCTCGCAGCCGCTCGCCGTTCCGCAATTCCCTTTCCAGAGTGGGCTCTTGCTATCCGCGCCGAGAAGTTTGGGGGCGGACCAAAAGTCATTGATATCACCGGCCGGAATGCCGACAATTTTTCCGGTCGGAAGCGTGTTTGGATCTGGCTCTAGGAGGCGATTGGAAAATGGCATGTGATATGTGTGATTGAGTATCAGGTCTGTGTCTGGGTTGCTGAAGGCGTCGAGGTTCCAGTAAGTGTGCTGGGTCAGCATCAATGCTATGGCAGAGAGTCAGCGCTTGGCGATACGGATAGAAGCTACATGCCGTACGTGTCATGTGCTGTGGAGCTGTCGCAGTCATCTTCACTTTCCAAGTCTTTTCCGAGAGCGTGTAAGTGATATAGCCATCCACGTCTCCAGGCATTCCGATCGAGGAATTGCTAGCATCGTGGATAGAAAAAGTGATGGAATTCTCGCTGAGGTCGACGACATCGAATTTTCTGTATCCCCATCCATTGGTCCCGGAGTGGAGGGTATTGTTTCCGTCATTCTTCTCCAAGTTATAGGTAACACCGTCCATAGTGTACTGAGCATTCCCAATACGACCCGTGTATCGCCCAGGGACAGCGCCAAAGTGTCCGGGTGCGTTTGCCACTAGGCTTGCGTTAGATATGCTTCCATTGAGAGAATGTCAATAGGGCTACCGTAGTCTGAAGGATTGTCAAATCCAACCACGATATCCCTCTCAACTCCATCTTTATCCTTCACAAAGAGGTTCGTGATCGCCGCTGCATGTGGGATGAACTGCCACAACCTCTGTCAGCCTCCATTCGGTTAACAGCGCAGAAGGGACTACCTGAGCTCGAATACCTCCAGCAGTGAGAGTATACTTTCCGTCAAGTCCTGGTAGCGGGATGGCAACAGCGCCCAATGCAGCCGAAAAGACCGTAAGCAATACCGAAAGGCTCTGCATGATTGCGCAGGCTGTTCAAATGTGCGGATACCATGAGGGTATTTAAATAAATAAATAAATAAGTACAAACTTAGGAGCCAGCGGGCGGCAGGCCGGAATTGCTTCTAGAAAAATGTTGGCAGACAAATGTGTTATACAAGTATCCAGCGCGAAAGTACCGGCACCGGAAAAAGGTTTTGGGCATGAATTTGGTGTGGGCGCTCAGGTGTGGGCATATAATTTGCCATACTAATATCGGGTCCCATGTGTCCGAACCAGTACCGCAAAATATCTTGTAATTCACCAAGCTACAAGTACCGGTGTCGTATTTTCAGGTGAAATCTACAGCACCCACTAGTCCAGCACAGGTAGTTCGATAGATTAAGAGAATCGCCAAAACAGGCTAATGAGATCCAACACATCTGGTGGGCCGGCCCTACTCGTCCCAGGCAAGAAGTACGGTACAAGTGTCCGAAAACAGGGATCCTCAAAATGTATGGCAAATTATCCGCGCGCATATGGGCGCACAGGCAAACTCACGACTCGTATTTTCGGATACCCCTTGCCTGGGACGAGTAACTTGCGCCGCTGTCAAGAAAACGCTAATCCTTCCCAGGACCTTTTTTCTCGGAACCCGGAGAATGCAGGGCTGGCGGAGATGGTGGACTACGGTACAAGGGCTTTGACGGTATTTTTGGACGGGACGCTTGTATCTAAGCAAGTATATCTACCCCCCAAGCGGCTGACCCGGGATTAGCCCTACACCATTCAGGCATAATTGCAAGGGCATACATGTGTTACCTTCCAAACAAGATACCAAGGGACGAAAGTGCACAAATTCACGCATGGTACCTGGGTTTGGCGGTTACAGTAGTCGAGCCCGACACTAGACAATGATAACCGATCCAAGGCAGTATAGTACTATACTAGTGTCAGCGCTCGTGGGGGGCCCAGTAATGGCGAATGTCCCTTGACAAAAGTAATGAATCTCACCGAAGTAGCGAATCTCACCGGCGAGAAGTAGTCCATGGGAGCACAGGCTCCTCCCCGATCACCCGTCAGAGCCAGGCACGATAAGGTCAGAGCAAGGTCAAAGACGAACCGACGAGACATGATACAAAAGCTGATTCGGCCCCCAGTAGTGGGAGATTTAAATGCCCACCCGGCGTACACAAGGTCTCGCCCCCACCGGCCACGGGACCAATCGCCAAAATCCAAGTGCTCCCCAACACGATATGCAGTTCAAGTGAAAGCCTGCAGTCATGGTAGAGTGCAGCTAGGCTGATGTCGAACTCGGGTAGAACTTCGAGTGATGAGTGAACTAAGGAATGATGAGTGACGCGGGTGAAGGGTGCAATAGCGGGAAAATATCCAACGCTCCCCGGGCGGCGATAAATGACCCCCAATTATCACTGAGGTCAGGATGTTCTCCAACAACAAAAGCTCCTGACAACCAGTAATAGTCTTTGCCGATCCCCCGGGGGGTTGTTGTGTGGAACGTACCGGATGATGCGAGGAAAGGGGTATTATTTTGCTCACCAACAGTGAGGAATACCAAACCGGGAGGCCAAGGGTGAAATAGTAACGGTCCCCTGACCCATTGCCAGCACCTCCGGGTAGTTAACATCGAGAGATAGACCAGGACCCGAACAACTCTTGCCATTCACCACTGCAACACTAGAAACAGCCTGCATTCCAGCTATCGGCTCATGGTTCGGTGAAGGCACCGAGCAGTATCATACAATCAAAGACCAGCTAGGTGTGAAAGCAAGTGACGGGCCAAAGGTCTGAAAGCTACCGTGAGCGATGTCATTTCAATCTATAAAATGTTTGTTCGACACCCGGTCCATCGAACCCGATTTTGAATGGTTGGTAAATAAACGCCCCTGCCGATTCCCAGTATCACACCGCCGAAAGTGTCACCTCCTCAGCACCAGCGGGGGGTTAACGCACGTTTGCAGTCATAAGAAGGGTCAGGGTTACCTTATCTCACCGAGACACCGGTGAGAAAGGCCTGAAGGAAGGAGAGCCGCGGGAATATTTTCAAGATTGCCCAGTCACTAAAAGATACTAAAGACAAAGGACCCGTTCAGAAATCGGAGAAATGGGAATTGCAATACATGAAAGTATAGATTAGTCCACCTTTCTTCCCGGCTCAGACCCCGCAATAGCACCTCTATTGCTAGTCTCACTCCCCAGAAGCCCACCATCGCCCGTATTCTCCTCGGGAATGATCCAGTTGAGTAAAACTCCCACTATTGCGACAAGACAGTACGCTGTTCTAATCACAACACTGATCCCATCATAGAACCCCTGAAGACTCCCCCCTTTCCCGGTTGGCAATAGATGCACCAGCCAGTCCGGCACAATCAAATCTGCTAGACCAAGTGCTAACGCGGCCGTGATGATAAATCTATTGCGCCTGTTCCAAGTCACAGTGGAGAGTATCCGGAGGCCAGAGACCACAATCGTGGTAAAGAGGAAGGTTGTCATTCCTCCGATCACGCTGGGCGGAAGTGCCACTAACGATGCACCGAATTTACTGGCAATACCCGCAAGGAGCAAGAAAAAGCAACAGGCGTAGCCCGCTCTGCGAGAGGCGCATCCCGTCAAAGCAATTACTCCCTAGAGAGGTCAGTTGGAGAAGGAAAGAGCGGGGAAGGGTGATTACATTGTTTTGCGCAAAGCAAACAAGAGGGGTACATGTTCCTAGAGCTGCAAGGACACTCCAAATCCCATCCGCTGTCAATCCCCCTTGGACTCGGGTATCCAAATCGCCACTCGTACCATCTATATCTATCCCGCTCACCTCCGCGGTAGCAATCACATCGCCGAGACAGCTAACCAGGGTTGTGATGCAGCATGCAAGTAACGGCAACACCAGACTCCCGTCCACTGACAACGGAAATGTCTTGACCCAAACAAACGTACCGCTCGGAGCGGCGGTAATAGTCTTTGAGTCGATGAAGCCGGTAGCGGCGGAAATTATAGCTCCAACCAGTAGTCCGGCTACAACAGAACAGTTCCGAATCAAAGGAGCTCCGAAAAGCTCTACCAGGAGGATGGTAGCATATACAGAGAAACCCAACCCAATGAACGAAGGGTCACCCCAAGGCCGTGGCTCCGGTGCCTTGATATTCGGACACAATTTGAAGAATCCACTTTCAGGTCTCGCCATACCTGCTCTCGTCAGTCCCATCCCTTCCCATCCAGCCTAGCGAAACTCACAAGGGCCACTGCCACCCGCCCAGCTCTTGACTCCACTGGCAACCAAGCCTCCCCCGATACAGAGCAGGACCATCCCGGTAACCAGATTGGGGAAGATCTTCATTAGAGTCCTGGGCTTGATGAGGCTAATCAGAACCTGAAACAACATGACAACTGCTACGGTCCCGATAAAACTACCATAGGCCTCCGGACATGGCTGCTTGACCCCATTTACAGTTGAGCAACGACCGCCTTCGTATTGTCCGGTAAAGTATGCTTGGGCAATGGGAACCACAGCAAAGGCTTCCCCAACAACCGATATCATGCCCGTACCGATGTAGAAGCCGGTATTGAAAACTTTAAAGCGCATGATCTGGAAGAAGCTGAATATCCCAGAGAGGATCAGGGATGCGGAGACCAGGTATGCGACGGTCTCGGCATTGAGATTTGCACCCGATGCCCCAGCAATCAATAAGGGCGGAGTAACCACTGTAAACTTATTAGTTCGCACTCCGCAGGGTGGCACGAGCGCAATACAGACCCCCGCCCACCATGGCAAGCGAATGCTGCAAACCCAACAGCAAGGTCAACAGTAATGGTATCCTCTCATCAATGCCGTAAAAGGGCTTCACCCGATCCTTATACTTTCGATTAAACGGGGGAACATCCGGCGTCAATAACCACGCATAGCTACAGCCCCCATCATTAGTAAAAGCCCAAGACCGGAAAAGCCCGGAAGCAAAGATGGTAAACCGACTCATAATTCCCGAGCAAACCCTCTCTGGTCGTGAACAAGAACTTTATCTCTTCCCAAGCGACGAACCACCCCTTCCCGACACTCCCTTCCGTGGGAACATAACTGGTGACTGGCGAATTGACAACCTCCTCCTTAGCATCAATCACGGCCATGTCGTTTTCTCGCTCGGCCAAGTGTCGGTCGGTTAGTCAAGCGTGACTGCTACTCAGCACGGGAGAGAAAAAAAACAGAAGGAAATGCACCAGGTATAAGTACTCGTATGCGTAGCATAGCCAGAACAGAAGGAGCTCAAACTCAGAATACAAACCCGAGAACACGGTCCATCAGCATATTTTGTGCAGTTGTATGCCCATCACGGAGCATGCGCTCCCCACCTTCCATCCCTCTCCTGGCAATATAACCCCCACACACCACACCCGGCGAGAGAAAAAGAAAAACCGCATAAACCCATTAATTACCACATCCGCACTCGCAGTGTCGGCAGCAAAAAGAAAATAAGCAGCAAATGATGGTGAACATGTGTGATTGCCGCGATGTTTGACGTGGAGTTGCCGGCCGAGCACGATACCCGAACGAAACCGGGTGGCTTGTCCATGAGAGTGCCAACCGTCCTAATGTTGCAGGATGAGCTTCGCGCACCCCCTTAATCGGCTGGGGAAGTGGGAGAGTTGTCCAGAATCTCCGGGAATGGCATCATGCGATCGATATTCAAGTCCGACATGATGGAGGATTTCTCGGAAACCGACCTACCGTAGGATGCCTTCCTGTTTGTCCCATCGTTCCTGCGGGGTTGTTCTACGAGTACATGCATTGGTATCAGACCGGTACTTGTGCTTGCACCACGCACGGCGTCGGCACTAGGATGGCAGTAGGAAAGCATCCCGGAAGAGTGCTCGAGTACAATACAACACATTCCACGATCGCGCCGGAGCATGACCCCCCAACCATGGGCAGACCGGGCGAACCACCGAAACCACCACAAAGTACGGGACCCGCAACTTAATCCACCACGAAGCCTTCATAAAACCTCAATCGCCCTCCCTCCCTCACTCCCTCACTTCACCCCGCCTGCTGCTCGCCAGACCCGCCGGTAGGCACCATACCGAACCGGCGAGGTCCACACCGTAAAGTGCCGGCAGTACAGCACTTATGTAACAGCTTGCTTATCGACTTATCTCCCATCGCTCGTTTCGCATCCAGGGAATATCATATTATATCTCGACCGATGCGTGGGATACAGTACGAGCACTCCTACCGTAGGCATTCAACGGCCTATTATACCCCTACTCGTAATGTCGAAGCGTCTTTTTCCTCATTGTTTTTCCCTTCCCTCTTTTTCTATCACAAAAACGAGGACCGCTGTTGCACACCTGCACTAAAATTTGTCGCCTTTTGCTCGGATTGGATGCTTCGAGATTGACTACCGGTTGTGGTCCCCTTTAAAAACACTTTGACGCCAGGAGTGCAGATTTGGTGGCGGGTGCTTTACATTACCTGCGAGCGCCGTCTGCCGTATCATACCGCTCTACTCGAGTATATACCAGTCGCAACGCTCTGACTAAGGGAAGTGTTCAAAGGTGTCATGCTGTCTGGGTTCGCTGATGTTCACACATGATCACTCGTTTTGGGTTTCTGCTGCAACATGTCTGGCCCTGATGATTTTCCGTGAACCACCGGTAAATTTAGGATAGCGCTAGTAATGGAGCTTTTCTGGAGTCTCGTTTGGGTTGTGAATAGAAAAATTTTGAGGTTCCGCACGGTCCAGGAGCTATTCCGTTTCAGGAAAAGATACGCAAAAATGGGTCTGTGTTCTCGAGATCCTCAGAAAATCTTTCCTCTAAAGGAGAAAAAATAGAAATCCGAACAGCCCACTCTCCAGTCTATACCCTTAAGGGAATAGATTCAGTGTCTTGGCAAACTTAAAAGTTTTTCTGTTCACATCCCAAACGGGACTCCTGAACAGCTCTGCTGGGGAGCACCAAGGCGGAATCCGTCCTCCGTCGCACGTGTATCTCCTGGACTGCTGAGACTGTGGAAAATTTTGTGCCGCCCCTGTCAGTGCCTAAGACATAGATGACTAACAGACCAACTAAGTATTCTTGAGTGGTGGTGGGCGTAGGTATGATCATGCAACTAATATTAGTTACATTCTGAAGTATGCACATCTGCGAATTTATAGTACAGTCACTAGACAAAAGTCTTGGTGATCGCTCCAGGTGAGACAAAGTCTGTGCACTGAATGGGTACCGGTATTGCATGAGCTAAATGGCTACTGTAGG